CAGTAAATATAATTTAAAATTAATTGGATGAGAATTAAAAAAAATGACAAATTAAAGTAGTAAATTTTAAATAATAAAAATAAGTAACAAAAAACACCAAAACAAAATGGGAACAAATCACAATATAATAAAAGTTTTAAATTAAAAAAAAAAAAAGAAGAGAATTTAAAACAAGAAGACAATTAATGTAGTAAATTTTAAATAATATAAAAAAATCAAGAAAACAATTATTTGAAAAACACTTTTAATCTAAAACTGTATTTTAGACTAATTATATATATTAATAATGCCACTATAATTTAAAAATTATCTAAATCTATTTTTTTAAAAAAATAATAATCATGTTCTAAAAATTTATTCCAGAATCTATACATATAGAAAAATAAATCAAAACTGTTAGTAAATATAAATTTAAATTAATTAGATGAGAATTTAAAAATAATTGACAAATTAAAGTAGTAAATTTTAAATAATGAAAATAATTAACAAAAAAAACTAAAACAAAATGAGACCAAATTACAATATAATCAAAATTTAAAATATAAAAAAAGAGAATTTAAAAAAAGAAGAAGACAAATTAATGCACTAAATTTAAAATAATATAAAAAAACCTAGAAACAATTTATTTGAAATATAATTTTAATCTAAAAATGTATTTTAGATAAATTATATATATTAATCATGTCACTATAATTTAAAAATTATCTAAATCTATTTTTTAAAAGAAAAAATAATCATGTTCTAAAACTTTATTTCAAAATCCATACAAATAGAAAAATAAATCAAAACTATCAATAAATATAATTTTTAATTAATTGGATGAGAATTTTTTTAAAAAAAATTAAAGTAGTACATTTTAAATAATAAAAATAATTAACAAAAAACACTAAAACAAAATGGGACCAAATCACAATATAATTAAAGTTTGAAATTGAAAAAAAGAAGAAGAGAATTTAAAAAAAATGACACATTAAAGTAATAAATTTTAAATAATAAAGACAATTAACTTAAAACACTAAATCATAAGACAATTAAAGTTTGAAATTGAAAAAAAGTATAAAAAATTTGAGGACCAAATTGTTAGAAAAACGATATGAATAGTGAAATGATTGGTGATTTGTGAGTGTGTGAATAGTTTTTTGAATAGTAAAAAATGAATAGTAAAATCAAGTTTTACTTTAGTCTTATGTACTAGTCGCTTGCTCGTGCTACGCTACGAGTCCGAGTAGAAAAAATCATTTTAAAATTATAAATTTTTTTTTATCATTTTTTATTTAATTAAAAATTTTAATGTTTTTCTAATAAATTTTATGCTTAAAAAAACACAAATCGTTCTTCTTTATTGATTGATTTTAAAATAAAAAAATATAATAATTTTAACTAAAATATTAATAAAGAATTAAAAAAACTTAAAATATTTTATTCCCAAAAAAAAAATTTATAAAAAAAATTAACAAATGAAATTTTTTTTCTTATTTAATGTTAATGAGAAGATTAATTTTTAAAATTATTCGTGCAATACTACAGGTAGATAGACAAAATCATTTTATAATTTTTTTCATTATTTTTATTCAATTGAAGGGATTTTTTTTTCATATTTTTTTGCTTAGAAAAATGATTTATTCTTCTTTATTTAAGGATTCTTAAATAAAAACTTGTAATAATTTAAACCCGAAATATTAATTAAGAATTCAAAAGCAAATACTTTAAAATTATATATATTTTTATAATAATGCATCCAAAAAATAAAGTCACAACTAAATATATAGACTTGCATAAAAATTAATCAATGCAAAAATAAAAATTTATTCTTATTTAATATTGGTGAGAAGATTTTTTTTTTTAAATATATACATTAGATCTATATATGTTTATTTACAAAATAATCAACAAAATTAGCATAAAAAGCTATATTTGAATAATTGGTTAGTTCTTTTAAAAAATTATTTTAATTATTTTATTACAAATAAATTTGTTATATAATGTTAAAAAAATATTCATAGAAAATAATTTATATTATATTGAAAGATGTACGAGTTAATTTTTAATGAAATCAACGATTCAATAGTTTTTTTTATATGTCTTGACCACACCTAGTGAACTGAGATAAATTATTTAAATTATGCTTTTAACCTCTTAGAATAAAATAATTATATGTTTATATATGCGCAACTATCATTTAAAAATTCTAAGAATTCATGATATATATTATACTAATTTATTTTTTAAAAAGAAAAAACAATCATGTTTTAAAATTTTATTCTAAAATTCAAACATAGAGTAAAATAAATTATATTTATCGGTAAATAAAAACTTATATAAAAAATATTAATTGGATGAGAATTTTCATAAAAAATGATATATTCAAATAATGAAATTTAAATAATAAGAGTAATATAAGCGAACGTATATGTTAATTTCAAAATATTAAAAGATATTGTGTGTGTGTGTGTGTGTGTGTGTGTGTGTGTATGTCGTGTGAAAATGAAAATTGAGAATTGAAAAAAAAATTTATAACGTAAGGGATGAAAAATAGAAAAAAGTGTTAAATTTGCATATTAGTGCCCAAAAACACACAAAAAACGACAAACAAAAATTACTTAAATTGGTATCAAGTGAATAGTAATTTTATGCATATGAACATTGAGTGCGTAGGAATTTTGGACATATGAATAGTTCGGATTTTTACGCCATGCTACGGACCAAACTAAATATATTTATTTCAGTTTGATAATATATACTATGTTATCGATTAATTAAAATATATTAAGTTAAATATAAAAGATAAAATTTTATCTAATTTTATAACTTTTAATCAATATATATATTGAAGTAAAAAATATATATGATTTGTTCTTTGTTATGCATTTATTCTTAAATAAAACCCATAATAAACAATTTTTTTTTTAAAAAAAAACATCTTAATATTTTTTTATTATATTGCATGAAACAAATAAAGCAACAATTAACATAAAAACTTATATGGAAATTAACAAATGAAACTTTTTTATCGATGAGAAGATTATTTTTTAAAATATATACATTTGATTTATATATATTTATTCACAAAATAATGAATAATATTAGTATACAAAATTGTATTTGAATTATTAAGCAGTTATTTTAAAATATTATTTCAATTATTTTATTTGAAAAAATCATTTTCAATATTAAAAAAATAATAGCGAGATAGTTGATATTGTGTGCGTAGATGCGTAGTTGATTTTTAATAAAATTAATGACTCTAACATTATTATTTTTGATACATCATGACCATACTCAATAAGTGAAAATATATAAAATAAATTAAAAAATATTTTAAAAAATTAAATGGTAAAATATATATTGAAGTTAATAGAGTATAGTAAAAACTATAAAAACTGATTTCGATAAAATTTGATTATGTAAAAAATAAAAAAATAAAATACATATATTCAATTTTTAAAATTTGATTATATAAGAATCAAGTAAATAAAAACGGGTATTAAAAAAAACTTATTCAAATCAATACATAGAGAAAATAAGTCATATTTATCAATAAATAAAATTATAAAAAATAAAAATAAAAATTAACTTGATGAGATTTTTTATCGAAAAAATCAATTTTATACAATAAGAGTAGTTTATATTTATTTTAAAATCTAAAAAATATTGTATAAATGTAAAAAATATCGTATATACTATATAATCGTTAGTTTGTGTGAAAAAAATAAATATTGATTTTTTAAAATTTTAACACCTAATTAAATAAAAAAAAGAACATAAATTGATGAGAGAAAAAAAAAGCAAAGGAAATAAAAGACATGACTAGTGTTATATAATCATTAGTTTGTATGGAAAATAGCAACAATTTATTTTTTAAAATTTTAACACATAATTAAATAAAAAAAGAATATAAATTGATGGAAAAAAACAAAAGAAAAAAAAGGCATGAGTAGTGCATCGGATAGAGGATTAAAATTTTTATTTTAAAATTTTAGAGATAAAAATGAAACAACCTGAAAATTTTATAAAAAATTAAATAAATAAAGAAGCGAAGAGATCAAAATAAATAACCTGAAAATTTTTTTAAAAAATGAAATAAAAAAGGAACCTAGGAGATCAAAACGAAACAACCCGAAAATTGAAAAAAATAAAAAGGAACCTAACTTGATGGAAAAAACAAAAAAAAAAAAAGCATATATTCACCGCAACTTGAAACAAAAAAACGAAAAAAAGGAACACTACTAGGAAAAAAAAAAAAAGGTGAACTTGAAACAAAAGAAAGAAAGAAAAAAAAAAAGGGTAAAAATGAACAGTACCTGAACCAAAAAAATAAATAAATAAACAGTAAGTGAATAGTCTAACAATAATAATTTAGTGTTTGAAAACCTCATGCCTTTTAGTTTATTAGAAATTATTAACTACTGAGAAAGAACAGATTCAAGCTATTCTTGACCTCCCTTTCTTTTGCTCCACTACTTTCCCTCTTCAGATCCGAGCTGGGCCTGGGTCCTCGGTTTTGCTTGAATCTGGAACTGTATTACCCATTAAGCAAGTCACATTCTTTATAGTTCATTTTCAATCTTTGGTAAGTTAAATGTGTAGTTTTAATAATTTGAAGTTGTATTTTTTTTATTGATTTTGTGCGGTTTTGTGTTTTTCGGATTGTGTTATAGATACATAGGGAAGATATTGAATTTGGTGTTTGCTTGGGCTGATGATGGAAAGAAAATTGTCCCGGTCTTAATTCATTTTTCTTGATTGTTGAAATGATGGAAAATTGATGAGACTGCTCTCTCTCCCTCTCTCTCTCTTCAAAATTAAGGAAAACAAGTATCGAACTTGAAGTAGTGCACGTACTTGTGACGGTAGCATTGACCAAATGCCCACACCAAGCCAAATGCAAGGTTGCCACCTGGTCGCACGCTACCACTACTTTTCTTGAAAACTTCCATGTCGTTTGGATTTTGAAAAAAATATCGAAACAATATTCACTATTATTAGTCATAAACGGAGTTATGAATGTGGGAACCTTAGGGTACATGGCCATAAATCTTCAAGCATTTCAAGTGAGATACGTAAGTCCTTTTGTTGTTGGAATGATCCTCCGACCAAGACCGCGCATTAGGATTCGCGCTTATCTTCTTAAGTAGTTGGCTGATTGGACCCATCAAAATGTGCAAAAGGACAAAAAAACGTTTTTTTGTCCTTTTCATCCCCTTGAATCTACCGCCATCACAGGATGTCAAGGGTGGAGAATAAGCCATTGGATAACATAACATGGTTTAAAAAATTTTGGAAATGTAAATTACAGATTAATTCCTTTTGTGGTGATTGGTGTGTTTATTATGTAGTGAAACACAACTAATTTTTAAAAAAGTTGTCAAAATAAATATGATTTCTTTGTTAGAATTAAAATAAATGTGATATAAACTTAAATAATAATAATAATAATAATAAGGAACAGTGAGTGTAACCCATTATTCTATGAGCCTAATAAATTAGTGAAATGTTCCAAATAAAAAAGAAAAATGATTGACTGAAATTATCTTAACAAATGAATAATGTAAATTATTCTCCATGAGTGAAAAAATATAAAAATTGTACAAAAAAATTATATATATTAAAAAAAATGGATATAAGTCTTAACATTGTGTAATTACATAAATCACTATGATAACATTTTATATATATAACAGTGGATATAAGTCTTAACATTGTGTAATTACATAAATTACTATGATAACCTATCATATAGGTTTGGGCGTATGAAACTTAAAATAATACATTGCAGGTGTAGCGTCGTTGTCATGATTGGGTCGTTTTTCGGGTTGGAAAGACAGCGACTCCTTCGCCTTTAAAAGCAGGTAGGCTCAAATCCCTCCACGCATGGATTCAAACTAGTTGGGAAAGGGAATCCAGCAAAGGCATCTCAAAGAGAGAGTCTGGTATAATGCATTGATCATTTTAATTTCCTAATTTCATCTAGTGCACTATTACTTTTTCTTTCTGATGTAGTTAATCTGCATGTTTTTGTTGTTTTGAATTTCTAACATGTAACAGTATCATTTCTTAGCCTTGCAAACAGAAACAAGAAATGGCCAATGCACATGAAAGGGTTAGAGATTAGCAAGGAACAAAAGCGCATAAGAGAAGGACAAAAGGGAGTAAGGGAAAAATTTGAGGGAGTAAGAAAAGAATGAGAGTAATTAGGAAAGGAAACTAATCTAATCTCCCACTCTTAGGTTCATCAAGATTAGAGGAAAGTAAGAGAGGGAGATTACATTGGTTTGCTTTCTTAATTACTCTCACTCTTTTCTTATTTCTTCAAATTTTTCCCTTACTTCTTTTTGTCCTTCTCTTATGCGTTTTTGTCCCTTGCTAATCTCAGCCATCTCAGCTTCAATCCTTTTCCTGCTCCTCCTGTTCGCCAACTTTGAGAAATGATACATGCTTGAAAATCAGGACAACAATCGCATGCTAAACTATAGAGTAGTACTTAAAATAGATGCCAGACTCTCCCTTTGAGCTGCTCTAGCTGGCTTCCTTTGGTACCAATGCTATAAAAATCTTAGACAAAAGGCCAACATAATTACGTAGAGGGCTCTTTAAAGCAAGAATAAAAGTAAGAAATCAAAGCCCAGAGATAAAGCAGATTGAAGCCGTTCTCAACCGTCGCATCTTTGTTTTTGCCCCCACCAGTTTCCCTTTATCCAACTTCATGAACAGAGTTGAAAAGTTGTTGATATAGTGTGCCTGATGTCTTCAAAGAAGAATAGGACTGCCTCGGTCTTAAGAAAGGTAATTTTGCTTTAGCCTTTTTGCAATTCTGTTAATTTGAGTTGGGTTTTTTCAGATTTTTTGTTAAAAGTGATTGAATGTATAACTTTGAATTTGGTAAGATGTTCGAGATGGCAGCGTATTCATAGATTAATCACGCTGTGAACTTTCTTCAAATTCCCAAAAGTTAATCTTTTTGATAACTTTTTCAGAGCTTCTCGAAAGAATCTTTGTCCAGCTGAACACATTCCTCCAAAGAAGCTTCTGGCCAAGGATGAGAACATGCAAGATTGTGGTGACGGATTCGGGAAGGCAGAGCCTGCAGAAGGATAGATAGCCTATGGATTGCAAGAAAGTGATCTCTGATCTATGTGATTAGTGACTTTTCAAGGAGAAGAATTAGAAGAACAAATCTGTTGCTTATCCTTGATGGGTAGGCACCTTAGATACCTTAACTAGATGCAGACCTATCTAATCTTTCCAGCAATATCACAAGTGCCAGTTAGACTTGTCAGGACAAAAGTATAATGACTTCAGCATCTCTTTTCTTAGCTTTGTTGGGCAGTTGTAAGGAAAGACACTGTAACAATTGATTGCTGCAAAATTGGTAATATTGTAGAGATGAAACAATGAAAATTGGGAAAGCTGCTCACTTTTCCTTGTTTCTTCTCAATGAATGACTGCATTGAAGACACCTGGAAATGCTAATTGTTATATTTTGGTTGTTTTTATCTGAAAATTGCTAGCCATTTCCTTTGTTAGTCATTTATACATTCATTACCTTTGCATAGCTAGAGTATCACCATAGCCTCCAGGCAAGTGGGAAGCCAAAGTTTTTCCATTATCGTTGTCCCGATGTTTTACAAGGTTCCTTGGACTTTTGATTAATCATTGCTAGCCCATTTCCTCTGTTAATCTGTTCTTATCTCAGCCCCGAACGAATTTGGATCTAGTTTGCTTAAAAATTGGTATCTGGTGAAACGATTTTACCCAGCAAGGTAACGAGTACTCAATAGAACCTTACTATTGCAAATTTTGACAAGAAATTTTGTTGTCTGCTCTAATACCAAAAATCCAAGGCAAAAAATGTGCTCCCCCTGTTTTCAGACATTATGAAACGAAATGTGTAAGAAAATCAGAAGAACAAACGGATGCAATTACATCACCAAAACCAATTAATAACGGCATTGCACCAAATTTCTGGGGATGCAAAGGGGCTTTTATCTGCTAAAACCAACAAAACGAACGCACACCAATGCGTGGCTGCCCATTGTACACCGCCACCGGACTTCCTTCATGAGTCATTATGTTGCTTCATCTGGACCAAATGCATGACCATCCCTCGAAAAACAATGGGCTTCCATTGATTCAAACAAATCTTTGATACGAATCACCATTGCATCAAAGAATTTCTTAAGAATGTACTAGTTCACACCAGCTGAATATCCGGAATGGGAGATATTTATTGTTAAAGAAAGAACGTTGCATCAAACAAATCTTAATCAGTTTTTATTGAGACCGAATGATTACAATAAACTAATAAAGATGGATTTAGGACTGAAGAGTGAGGCCAATTTTTTTTTCTTTTATTTATTTATTTATTTATTTGGAATGGTAGAGATAAAAACTTAGATAAGTTAAGAAAATCTTATCAACGATGAAAATGAACTAAGCTTTTTCCAGGGATCAAATTAATTTTTTTAAAGAAAATAAAAAATATAAGTGTCAAATTTATAAGGAAAGCAGAGCAACTAATTGATCTTTGTGGGGCTAAATAATAAATAAGTTGAAAATATCTCGTAGGAGAAAAAATTAGAATTAATAATTAATAATTTTATTTTATATAGAAACCAAAATGAAAAAACAGACCAAATAGCATAGACTTTTGGTTACCGTGAGCAAGACTTTTGGTCTAAGAGTAGTTTTTGCTCGTCAAATATTGACTTTGTGGTACATTGAGACATATATAAATATCAATTCAGTAAAATTTATTATTTAACTGTTATATCTTAAATAAATATTATAAGAAAACTTAAAAAATTTAGAGCTGTTAATGTTCACTCACTATCTATCCACATTTATTTTATTATTTATTTACTATTTATCTACCTTTATAAGCATTATTTATTTAATATTATTATATTAAATGAAATTATTGTGATTTTTAAATTTTATTTAGATATTTGATATAGTGCTTTAAATGGCATTATTGTCATTTTCAAGTTTTATTCAGACATTTGATATGATATTTTTGTAATTTTTAATTTATATTTAGGTATTTGATATGAAAGTTTTTATAAATATTGTATTCTGTTTTCTAATTTGATAAACTAGTCCGTACCTTAAAGCTAAATATATGTATTATTTGATATGATATTTTTCTAATTTGACATTTCCAACGTACAAAATATATGTATGAGCTTTTGTGGGGACTCATTGCTCTCTCTCTCTCTCTCTCTCTCTCTCTCTCTCTCTCTCTCTCTCTCTCTCTCTCTCTCTCTCTATATATATATATATATAGAGAGAGAGAGAGAGAGAGAGCCACTTGATAAAGTCAGCATCCTACATCTAACGCGTGTAATGTATTTAGTAGCATATCTAAAAATTTCTATGAATGGACCGTTCCATTAATTTTATTTTTTATATAAAAATTTCTTATAATAAATTCTATCCACCGGGGATTCTAGGCATATGCAAATATCAATTTACTAAAATTTATTATTGAACTTTTATATCTTAGATAAATACCAGGCAGTCGGGCTCGTTTACGTTTTAAGAGGGAGGATTGAATTTTGTCTTCATAGGCCTCGTTGGTATTTTGCTTAACCTTTTGTCAGTGCCTTTCACGTGGCAGGGTTAGGTGCCCGAACTATGTGCCATGAAGTGTCGGGACATCTTTTGACCTTATGCTCTATGCTGCTTTTAGATGATCCACGATCGGTTATCATTTCTTGACCATTAGTTTTTTATCCCCAAACTACCATACGAATTAAATAAAATATATAAAATTATTTAAAAAATTATTTTTATTTAATAATCTGTATTATAATATGAATCTATAAAAATATATATAATTAAAAATAAAAAATTTTGTATTTAATTATTTTTTATTTATGTTTTTCATAATTTTTTCTTTAGAAAAAAGATTTATCCTTGTTAATCCATGAATTATTAACTAAAAAAAATTAAATATTTTTTAAAAAAGTTTTAGTATTTCATAAGATTGTGTCGAAAAATAAAAATAACAATTATTAAAAGTTTACATAGAATTGAATAAATAATTTGTTTATGTTTATTTAATGTTAATGAGAATATCGATTTTTGAAAAAATATAAATTTAATTTTTACATATTTCTTTATTTAAGAATGAATAATATTAAAATAAAAAATATATATTAATTTGAATCAATGAGTGGTTAAGCCAAAACATAATTTTAATTATTTAATTTTAAAATATTCAAAAATAAATAAATAAATATTAAATGCTTAGTGTAGTAGTATTTGCACAGTTAATTTTTTTTAAAAAAAACAATTCAATTTTTTTATACATCATAATTATACTAAAGGAGTTCAGAGCTTTCAGTCTCAAACAAAAGATACTATATAAAAAAAGAAGAAGTTAACTTGCAAGAATCTATTTACTAAATTTGAAGTTAATAGACTAAAATAAAAATTATTACAAATTTGATTTCGATTAATTTTGATTATATAAAGAATAAACAAAGTAATAAAACATGTTTTTTTTTTTCCTCCTTAAATAATTTTTTTGTTGCCTTTTTTTGCTTTTTAATCCATTGTTCCTTGCTTGTAACAGATACATTATGGTTTTCCCCTTCAGCATGATGCTGCTCTAGTTGAGTAGCCTTATTCTTTGTAAGATTCCCTTGAACTATCTTCCGACAATTACTTTCACTATGCCCAATCAATCCACAACCCATACAGCATAGCAAATTCCCATCATATTCTAATTTTTGTCAAAAACCTTGATCCTTTGAAGTTCCTACCCATATTCTACTTGGCAAAGTCTTTGAAACGTCAACCTCTAAGCACATTCTAGCAGACATGGGGTGTATGAGTTCCATGGTCCTCTCATCTGCTCTTAGAAAACTCCTAATCCCCTCCCCTATCCTTTTAAGGTAAGGTGAATTAAAAAACAGTAAAAGGAGATGGTGCAATCTTAGCCACACAGAGACTAACGGGCTATTCCTCCTGAATTGAAATTAGAGCTCCACTGAAATACTCGGCACATACAATTGCTTATCTTGTGATCCTCCCTTGATAGAGCCAGTATAAAATCCTCCTCTGATTCCAGCCTAACCATTACATGCCTAGGGTTCAATAACTCAACCACCGGCTCTCCTTTCAAATCCCATGATCGTTGAATATGGGACTAGATATCCTTGACTGTTAGGTGTCCACCCGTGAATTTCAATATTAACGTATCCTGAAATTAAACAACTGTTGTTCCTAATTCCATCGATGAGAAGAAACAAGAAGGTTCTGCATTAATCATTGTTGGTTGTCTAGGTGCTAGGGAAATTTCCTTCAATGGGTACATCTTTGCCTTCTTTATCCTAGGAGCTTGTGGTGGCTGCATGTTCACTGCCTTCGCATATGACAGACCTGGATTGGATTGAACCTGCATTTATGCTGCATCAGACTTGTTACTCCTAACCACCTCAGGCTCTTGTTGCATAACCAATTTAGCTACTGTATTACTTAAACCCTCTGCGCCATCCCCTGATGCAGTGACATTACCCACACCTGGAGAGGGGGGGGGGGGCTACCAACAAGGTGGCTTGGGACCAAGGCCCAACGATGGTCGAGCCACCATGTCGGAAAAATTTTCCTGAAAACGTGAAGGGAAGTTTTCGGAGATCCTAAATTTTCGAAGCTAAACCTAAATTGACTATATATTTATATACATAACACCAAACATACAATATTTTTTTTAAAAAAAAAATTAAACTCTTTCAAATAAATAAATTAAATTAATATTTTAGAAAAACTGCCTAATAATTCAAATAAAACTTTTTTATATCAATATTATTTATTATTTTATAAATAAATAAATATAAATCAAATGTATATATTTTTAAAATATTAATCGTATCATCAATATTAAATAAGAATAAAAAATATTAATTCGTTATTTTTTATATTAGTTTTTATATCAATTATTATTTTATTTCTTCAATGCAATGATATGAAAAATTATTAAGATATTTTTAAAAATTTTATATTTAGATTATTATGCGTTTTTATTTAAGAAAAATACATAAGAAATAACAAATCATGTTTTATTAACTACAAAATTTATTAAAAATGTACACAAAAAAATTAAATATAAAATTTTGATTAAAAACTATAAAATTATAAAAATTTTAAAAATATTAATTCGTTATTTTTTATATTAGTTTTTATATCAATTATTATTTTATTTCTTCAATGCAATGATATGAAAAATTATTAAGATATTTTTAAAAATTTATATTTAGATTATTATGCGTTTTTATTTAAGAAAAATACATAAGAAATAACAAATCATGTTTTATTAACTACAAAATTTATTAAAACTGTACACAAAAAAATTAAATATAAAATTTTGATTAAAAACTATAAAATTATAAAAATTTTAAAAATATTAATTCGTTATTTTTTATATTAGTTTTTATATCAATTATTATTTTATTTCTTCAATGCAATGATATGAAAAATTATTAAGATATTTTTAAAAATTTTATATTTAGATTATTATGCGTTTTTATTTAAGAAAAATACATAAGAAATAACAAATCATGTTTTATTAACTACAAAATTTATTAAAAATGTACACAAAAAAATTAAATATAAAATTTTGATTAAAAACTATAAAATTTTAAAATTTTTAAAAATATCTTAAAAATTATATAAAAATTTATCTTTTATATTTAATTTAATATATTTTAGTTGACCAATAGTATAGTATTTGCTATCAAACTAAAAAAAAAAAAATTTAGTTCAACTTGCACCATAGTATAAAAAACTGACTAGTTATTTAATTTGACTCTTAGGTCAACGGATAAAACTATCACTCAATTCATTCATAAAAATTCATTATATATATATTCAACTAAAATTTTCATAGATGCTAATGAAAATTCAATTCAAATTTTTTTGAGGTCGGAGAGTATTTTTTATTTTCTAAACAATAAATTTTTTATAAATTATGAAATATTTTTTATTTTCTAAACAATAAATTTTTTTATAAATTATGAAATATAAAAGACGCTAGAATTATCTCAAATTCTTTCAACTATGACTTATATTAGAATCACTAAATGAAAAACGTTACATTTCCTACAAAATGAGATTATTAATTTATTATGAAAAAAAAAACAACCAATTTAGATGGAGACATGGATGGAAAAATCTTAAAAATAGATGGAAGTCTATAATCGAAAATCTCTAAAATACATGTAAAATTGATACAAAAATTTTTTGATGGAAACCGTCTGTATAGTTATAGTTGGGGAGCATCTTTTTTTCAAAAAAAAAAAAAAAAAAAAAAAAAAAAAAAAAAAGAAGCCCGAATCTCATCAGCAGTAACCGAAGACACACTGAAGCCAATATCGTGGACAGCCAAAGTATCCAGTAACTAAAGGAGACTCATCCATATTAACCCTAGCTTGAGTTTCTCAGTAAAACAAATTTGTAGCCACACAGAAAGCTATAAAGTAGCCCACCTAATTAAATAATAAATAAATGGCAGCATCTAACAGTTGCATGATTATCAAAAGGTGGTGTCACAGGCCAAAAGACATACCAGCAAATTAAGGTCCATATTTTCTAGTGAGAGAAAATTTTGCAAAACAAGGTCTTTAAAAAAACCCTAACCGAATATATGGAAAATAAAAATAAAAAAAAGAAAGATATCTCACCACGTACAACCTTTTTTAGCTTTTAGACCTTTTACTATATGTTTTTTAGTTCATATTTAGATTTTTTTTTTTTAATAATAAACCAAGCAACGCTTGCGTAATCGATTATTTTTTTAATCTATATTATTAAGAAATTTGAGCATGTCTTTTTTTTTTTTTTATGTGTGTCGTAAAAAGGGGAAGGACCATTTTTATGAACTATATATTTTTAACAAAATTAAAATATTTTGTACGTAGATCCGCAGCAACGTAAATGTGTTGGATAAGGCCCAAGTTGCCACTCACTGGGCCCTGTAAAAAAAGAAACAAACACCCCAAATCAAAGCCCAAAACACCACACCTTAAACCCCCCAAAACCCCTTCCGCATTTCCCTTGATCATTCAGCAACCAAAAAGGGGAAAAAACGCCATGGCCAAGTGGTGGCGCGGCCTCAAGACGGCAATCCAATCCCCACAACCGGCATTATCACCACTGCAAGCATTTCATTCCCAATCTTCACGTTTCCACACAATCCAAGCAATACCTCGAGAGGTTGCAGGCAGCAGAGTCTCAGCTAGAGACAGAGAGCAAGGTAGAATCCCTGCTGTGGTTTTCGCTCAAAGTCTTCTCGATAAAACCCCATCAAACCGATTTACCTCAAGAAAGAGATTATTGACTACTGAGAAAGAACAGATTCAAGCTATTCTTGAGTCCGTAGACCTCCCTTTCTTTTGCTCCACTACTTTCCCTCTTCAGATCCGAGCTGGGCCTGGGTCCTCGGTTTTGCTTGAATCCGGAACTGTATTACCCATTAAGGCAAGTCACATTCTTTTTAGTTCATTTTCAATCTTTTTGTAACTTAAATGTGAAGTTTTAATAATTTGAAGTTGTATTTTTTATTGATTGTGTGCGGTTTTATGTTTTTTGGATTGTGTTATAGATACATAGGGATGAAAAGACAGGGAAGATATTGAATTTGGTGTTTGCTTGGGCTGATGATGGAACGGAAATGAAAGTTGACGTGCCTGTTGTTCTCAAAGGAGAAGAAAATTGTCCCGGTCTTAAGAAAGGTAAACTTTGCTTTTGCCTAAGTCATTTTTCTTGATTTATTTTTTGTGGGGTTTCCAGATTGTTGCAGTGATGGAAAATTGATCGCTTTCAGACTTTGTAACATGATTTAGTTTAGGGGATGAGACTGCTCTCTCTCTCTCTCTCTCTCTCTCTCTCTCTCTCCAAGTTGGCACTTGTAGGCAATTTAGTATGCTAGCATGCTTCAAAATTATAAGGATTTTAGTTATGCTGAGCATGGTCATGGTTTTCGTGGATAGTTTTTGTTCTTGTGTATAGTTTTTTTTCTTGTGTATGATATATCTTGTGAGAGTAGTTGATTGAATATCTTTGTTAAGTTAGCTTTTGTAGCATATGGAAGATGACATGTCTTGAAGACAATTCTAATAGGCCTAACCATGTTGAAAATTACAATTATTTTACAACTCACCATTGTCTTGAGTCTTGCCTCTATTCACAATCCAAATCCATTATATCGATGAGGCATATATAAAGATGCCTGATGCAGGACAGAATTGGCTATGTTACTTTTTTGTGAGTAGGTAGGAATTTAGGGGTTTTGAAATTAAAGAGGGAAGGGCTGAAAGTTTCTATCTGAGTTGAGCCTATGCATTTTGAGCTTCTAGGACAAAATGATGTTTTTGTTGGCTGGAATAGGAGAATTTGCCTGCTGAAATATTGTGACAGCAGTACTCCATCGTTGACTGAAGCACTTCTGTTTCTCTCTCTCTCTCTCTGTGGCATGTAAATTAGCTTTGCTGTTTTACAGTTTAGTCATTTATTATGCTATCCTTCACCTGATCTTCCTTCAGCAGTTCTTATTACTGGTCCTCATACTGACTCTGATTAAGACAATCATTGCGAGCATAACAGAAGGGCAAAAGTGATAAATATAGTCTTGACATAATAAAGCATCAGTAGACAGGGCGGACTGTAAACTAGAACACCTTCCCTTTGATCAAAATTCCTTCTTCATTACGATAGGGTTAATGCCCTATTTTTAGGTTTCTAAAATTGAATCTGTTAGCCATCTTTGCAGATGTGGCATTAACTCTCTTCCAAAAATAATTCAACTTCATTGTGTTAGGTGCTCTTCCTAGAATTTCTTCTCCATAATGTGATTTAATAGAAACTAACCTGTAGTTCTCTAGTCGTTAATGCAACCCTACTTAATCACAAGGTCACCATACTTAAAAGAATCGTTGCATCTCCTGTCAAATATCCATGGATATCTTAGCAACGTATGTGATAGAAATGAATCATCTCATGGAACAAATCAATGCACATCTCCCAAGCGTGAACTTTGTTATTGGTGATATTAACCATGCCACTATACTAATGTGCATATGGCTTTGTTTTCTCCCCAACCTTGTGATGCCATCTTCAGAAACAACATTAGAATAAGAACTATTAGCATTGATTAGAATAGTACACTTTTGCCCATTGGATTTACCATGTGTTTGAGAAATACTGTTTCTTTGCTAGATAAGGAAAAAGAAATGAAAATTGCATGATAAAGGTGTGGAAATAAATTTCAGACCAGAACATCTCACAATATCATTAGATATACCTTACCTGTAAATTCTGTAAATTTGATTATCAAAATCATCATTATTCCTTGCTTAAAAATCCTTCCAAATTTTTAAAAATGTCTGATGGTGTATTTTTGTTTTTCACTTTACTCCAATGCCAAAACAGGGGGCCATTTGAAGATGATCAGAAGTACTCTAAAATATCTTTGCCCAGCTGAACACATTCCTCAAAAAATTGAGGTAGATATAAGCAACCTAGATATTGAAGATAGAGTGTTCATGCATGATATTGAGGTTCATCCATCTTTGAAGCTTTTGAGCAAGAATGAGACAATGCCTATATGTAAGATTGCGGTAACAAATTTGGATAGCCCAGAACCTGCATCAATGAATTTGGAAAGCCAGGAACCTGCAGAGGTATAGCCAGCGGTGTGCATGTCAATCACCTGAGCAGATGCGATTAGTAACTTCAATGTCAGAAGCATTAGAAGAATAAGTTTGTTGTTTTGTCTAGTTTATGGCCTGGGTTGGTGTTTTGGGATTCTCAAACTAAGGAAGACATGCATGGCTAGGTTCGTAGGCATGTTATATTTATGCTTTTAGCTTCTTAGTTACTTTATTGGGAGGTCGTAGTAGTTGCTAAACTTGCAAAACTGAGATGACTGATCACTTTATGTTTTTTTCAATGGATAATTACGTCATAGACACTAGAAAGTTCAGATGGTAATATTTTGGCAGTCAGTAGTTACATTCTATTTTCATCTGGAAATTGTTCTCGTCTTGTTAGTTGTTATTTCCAGACAGTTTCTATTGTTCATTTATTCTGTCACCTTTCCACGGCCAGAATTCAAGGGTGTGACGTAGGAGAGGATGCAGCCTTGCCGAGCCATGGTCCTGGCAAATGGTAAGCCGACGCTTTACTCGAAGAATAGTCATAGCATGTTTTAAAGTCCAAAGCAACATAATGGTCTTCGTTCTGACTTGAAACATTTTTTTTCCAAATGTCTTCCTTGAATGAAATTTGATTTTAAGATCACTTAAAAATGTAGAATTATGTTATATGGCTACCAACTATCACTCGTGGGCATCTTAAGCTACATGCGTTCCTCATATCATCATTCATGGTTCTTAAACTGAATCGGAAACTTAGACTTAATAGTTATATATAAAAATTGATTCGAAAATATAATTTAAGATGAAAGTAAGATGAAAAAAGATTAATTGATAAATTGTAACGGAAATCGTCATACATGAAGGTACAATCCAATAAAAGCAAGATGATCATATGAAAATATACTAATTAATTAAGAATTTCAATGAGATATTGCCCAAAAAAGGGAGTGCCAAGGGAATGCATATTGATATAAGCATATGCACTTAAGATTATTTATTTGTCATTTTTTTTCCTTCTTCTTTTTCCTTTTCGTTTTGTTTTTTCTCTTTTCTTTTGATAACTTTTTTCAGTATGTTTTTTTGTTTTTTTTCCCAATAATTTAGACGCAAAAGTCTCCATAACAATGAAAGCATAGTTTTCTTTCCTACGTGAAGCTTTCACCGCACTTGTTTTAATTTGGAGATGAGTTGTGCCCAGGATCCATGGTAAAAAAATCTCAAGCATTATCATTAGATTGTTTTTTCCTTTTTCCTTTTTAGCCTTTCTAGTCCAATGGAAGCATGCCGTGTCTCCATCACCGTCATCATCATGTTCGTTAAAATTATCGCTTATTCACAAGTAATGCTATTCGCCTAACTTCAACCATCTTTGTAGTTTTTTTTTTTAATGCATTATTTTAAGATCAATTTTTAGGTCAATGTAAATTAAGTTTACCATTTTTTTTTGAAATAGAACAATTATAAAATATTATTTATCCATTAAAAACAATTTACATGAACAATAAATTACAAACTCTTTGTCTTTTAAGATCAAGTGTGACTTTATTAAATAATTAATGCTAGATATAATATAAGATAAATATATTTATCTGCTCTTATATAATACTTAAAGTATTTTATATGTTTTTATATTTTTAATTATATTTTATTTTTTAAAAAAATATTTAAAATATTCAATCTTATTTGTTTTTTCGTATTTTAGTAAAGGATATTCTAGTCAAATTTTTTTTCGTAGTCAAAAAATTTGATTAGAATGATAAGTCGAACATTTTAAAATATTTTAAAAATAGATAGAAAATAATCGAAAAATTAAAAACAGATTTGAGACTTTAAGTATTATATAAGAATATATAGATATATTTACTCTACAATATATAAGGGTATGTTGTTGCAAGACCAAATTACTAATTAAGATCAATGACTTTTTAGTTAAACCTAGTTGCAAGTATAGTACGTTATGTCATTGCTTGGGTTAAGCACTCGGTCTAAAATGTTCTTGCAGCTTGCATTCTTAATTAATTATTGTTCTAGAATAGTAAAAAGATTTGGACCAGTTTTTGCATTAATAGAAATAAAACCCGCTATTTTTCTTGATTAGACTAGTTATAGAGCACTGTTTAACTGACAGAAACAATTTACGGGGACAACAATTACAATTTTTTTTTTTTTTTTTGGGCTTTCAAGACGAGTATGACGTTATTAAATAATTAATGATGGATGTATGATAGGGACTGCTGGTTCAAGACCAAAATCCTAAATAAGGTCAATGCTAAACCTAATTAGAAGTATAATAAATGCATATTATGTCATTATCTGGTTAAGCACTTGAGCTTAAAGTGTTGTTGGAAGTTCCATTCTTTAATTAATTGTTGTTCTAGAATAGTAAGAAGACATAATGAACCTCAAACTTTTGAAATTAAACTTTTTTTTATTTTGTCATTAACAAAATAGTTTGAGGAATTTTATCTCATCGTGAAACATGAAAATTAAAACATCAAGTATAACCATGATGACAATGAATGATCGAGATAGATGCAAGATCACTATTCAATTGACCCTTCGTTCTGATTAGATCTAGTTGGATAAGTACATACTTTTAGAAAAAAAACCTCACTTTAGTCTTATACCTATATACTTAATCTCAATTTATTTCTAAACCTATAAATTTTATCAATTGGATTTCAAATATTTTCTATACTTCTCAGCTAAATTATTTTGTCAATATTAAATTGTTTACGTCTAATGTGCATATTTTGGTATTGATTTGAAGAAAAATTTAATGAGCATTAATATTTTTGTATAATCTATACAGTAAACCAGATCAATTTGAGGAAATTTGATGATAATGTTGATAAACATTATCAGAAAGATTCCGTTGAGAAATTTTTAAAACGTTTGGGATCTAATTGATAAAATTTATAGATTTTAAACTCAATTGAAAATGAATATATAAAAAAATCTTAAACATAATCATTAGATTGATTTTTCCTTTTTACTTTTTAGCCTTCCTAGTCAAATGGAAGCATGCCGTGTCTCCATCATCGCCAGCATCATGTTTGTTAAAATTATCGCTTATTCACAAGTAATGCTATGAGCCTAACTTCAACCATCTTTCATCTTTGTTGAGGATTTTTTTTACTGCATTATTTTAAGATCAATTTTTAGGTCAATGTAAATTAAGTTTATAAATTTTTTGAAATAGAACAATTATAAAATATTATTTAACGATTAAAAACAATTTACAAGAACAATAAATTACAATCTTTTTGTCTTTTAAGATCAAGTGTGATTTTATTAAATAATTAATGCTAGATATAATATAAGATAAATATATTTATCAATCTTTATATAATACTTAAAATATTTTATATGTCTCTATGTTTGTAATTGCTTCTCATTTGTTTTGGAAGATATTTGAAATGTTCAATCTTTTTTCGATTAATTTTTTCTATCAAATAAATCATTTTTTTTAATCAAAATGTTCATTATTAAAATGAAAAAAAATAAAGATTTTAAAAATAAAATATGTAGGTCGTGTGACTTTAGGCGTTTTTGCTTTTGTTTTTTCGTATTTTGGTAAAGGATATTCAAGTCAAATTTTTTTCATAGTTAAAAAATTTAAGCGGAATGATATATTGAATATTTTAAAATTTTTTAATAAAAGATAGGATGCAATTGAAAAAATAAAAATAGATTTGAGACTTTAAGTATTATATAAGAATATATAAATATATTACTAATTAACTAAAAAGCTTGACCTTTTTCAATAGTAAATTACTATTGCTAGACTCGTCCATCCACTTGTTCACAAGTGTTTTTTTTTTTTTTTTAATTTTATGTTGCCGGCCTTCTCTCTCTCTCTCTCCCCCCTCTCCTTTGTTGCTTTAAACCCTTCTAGCTTTTAATAATTTTATATTTTAGTCTATGTTTTGTAATATTTTTTAATTTTAGTTATTAAAATTTTATTATATTTGATTTTTATCCCTACAATAAATCAATTTTTCTCCCTCTTGCTCCATTTTAAGTCTTTCTTTTGGTTTCTAGTTATTTTTATTTTTATTTTAGTCCTTATTTTGTAACTTTTTTATTTTGGTCATTAAAATTTTAGTTTTTTGTGGTTTGGTTGATGTAGCCAAGCTATCTCTCTCTCTCTCTCCTCTACGTTGCTTGCTTTAAACCCTTCTAGCTTTTAATAATTTTACATTTTAGTCTTTATTTTGTAACATTTTCTAATTTTAGTTATTAAAATTTTATTATATTTGATTTTTATCCCTACGGTAAATCAAAATTTTCCCTCTTGCTCCATTTTAAGTCTTTCTTTTGGTTTTTAGTTACTTTTATTTTTATTTCAGTCCTTATTTTGTAAATTTTTTATTTTGGTTATTAAAATTTTAGTTTTTGTGGTTTGGCCGATGTAGCCAAACTCTCTCTCTTCTTGCTTTAAGCCCTCTTACTGGCTTTTAATAATTTTACATTTTGGTCCCTATTTTGTAATCTTTTCTAATTTTATTCATTAAAATTTTATTATATTTAATTTTTATCCCTATAATAATTTTTTTTCTCTCTTGCTGCATTTTAAAGTGATTTGGTCTCATTTGTTTTAGTATTTTTTGTTAATTATTTTTATTATTTAAAATTTACTACTTTAATTTGTCATTTTTTTTTAAATTTCCATCCAATTAATTTAAAATTATATTTTCCGACATTTTTCATTTATTTTTCTGTATGTATGAATTTTAGAATAAATTTTTAGAACATGATTATTTTTTCTTTTGAAAATAGATTTAGATAATTTTAAAATTATAGTGCCATGATTAATATATATAATTTTTCTAAAATACATTTTTAGATTAAAAGTGTATTTCAAATAATTTTTTCTTGGTTTTTTATATTATTTAAAATTTACTACATCAATTTATCATTTTTTTTTAAATTCTCATTTTTTTTTCAATTTCAAACTTTGATTATATTATGATTTCGTCCCATTTTGTTTTGGTGTTTTTTGTTAATTATTTTTATTATTTAGAATTTACTTGCTTTAATTTTTCATTTTAAAAAAAATCTCATTCAATTAATTTAAAATTATATTTACTTGATAGTTTTTATTTATTTTTCTATAGGTATGGATCTTGGAATAAATTTTTAGAACATGATTATTATTTTGTTTTTTTGACAAATAGATTTGGATTATTTTTAAATTATAGTGGCATGATTAATATATATAATGTTTTTTAAATACATTTTTAGATTAAAAGTGTTTTCCAAATAATGTTTCTTGATTTATTTATTATTTAAAATTTACTACATTAATTTGTCAATTTCTAAAATTCTCATCCAATTAATTTAAAATTATATTTATCGATAATTTTGATTTATTTTTCTATATGTATAGATTTTGGAATAAATTTTTAGAACATGATTATTTTTTTCTTTTGAAAAATAGATTTAGATAACTTTTAAATTATAGTGGCGTGGTTAATATATATAATGTGTCTAAAATATATTTTTAGATTAAAAGTGTATTTCAAATAATTTTTTTTTGATTTTTTTAGAAAAAAAAACTCTAATTAATTAATTAATAGTTGAAAAAAAAAAAGATGGTTGCTCTCCGCGTGAGGTCCGTATTCAAAGACTAGCCATGCATAGCATAGAAATTAAAAAAATATTAAAGGAGGGCAAAAAAAAAGAATTCATATTTTTTATTAATTTGCTTCTTCTTTATATAATCAAAATTAATTGAAATCAAATTTTTAATAATTTTTATTTTAATCTATTAACTTCAAATTTAGTAAATAGATTTCTTGTAAGTTAACTTTTTTTTTTTTAGTATTTTTTGTTTTAGATCGAGAACTCGAACTTACTTAGAATAGTTATAATGTATAAAAAAAATATTGAATCTTTGTTTTTTTTTAGAAATTAAGCGTGCAACTACTACTACACTAAACATTTACTATTTATTTATTTATTTTATGAATATTTTAAATTAAATAATTAAAATAATTTTTTTGACTTAATCACTTAATGATTCAAATTAATATAGTTTTTTATTTTAATATTATTCATTCTTTTGTAAATAAATATATAAAAATTAAATTCACATTTTTTCAAAAATCGATATTCTCATCAATATTAGATAAAAAAAATTATTTATTCAATTCTATGTAAGTTTTTAATAATTGTTATTTATGTTTTTTGACTCAATCTTATGAAATATTAAAGTTTTTTTAAAAAAAATTATTTATTTATTTTTAGTTAATAATGGATTAACAAGGATAAATCATTTTCCTACGGGAAAAATTATAAAAAATATAAATAAGAAATAGTTAAATACAAAATTTTTGATTAAAAAATTATAAATAATTTTTTTCATTTTTTGATTTTATATATTTTTATAGATTCATACCATAAAACAGATTATCAAACTGAAATGATTTTTTTAAATGATTTAATATATTTTATTCAACCCGCTATGTAGTGCGGATAAGAAAACTAGTTTACTCTATAACATATCAGGGTATATTGTTTCAAGACCAAATTCCTAATTAAGATCAATGACTTTTTAGTTAAACCTAGTTGCAAGTATAGTACATTATGTCATTGCTTGGGTTAAGCACTCGGTCTAAAATGTTCTTGCAACTTGCATTCTTAATTAATTATTGTTCTAGAATAGTAAAAAGATTTGGACCAGTTTTTGCAGAGATAAAACCCGCTATTTTTCTGGATTAGACTAGTTATAGAGTACTGTTTAACTGACAGAAACAATTTACAGGAACAATAATACCAAGTTTTTTTTTTTTTTGGGCTTTCAAGATGAGTACGACGTTATTACATAATTAATGATGGATATATAACAGGGTCTGCTGGTCCATGACCAAAATCCTAAATAAGGTCAATGCTACACCTAATTGGAAGTATAATAAATGCATATTATGTCATTATCTGGTTAAGCACTTACCTTAAAAAGTTGTTGGAAGTTCCATTCTTTAATTAATTGTTGTTCTAGAATAGTAAGAAGACATAATGCACCTCAAACTTTTGAAATTAAACCTTTTTTATTTGCTATTTTGGTATTCAACGTTTATATGACCAGTCAGCTAAGCATCATGACTGAGTCCTTTCTTATTCCTCTTCTTTTTTAATCATTGTGATCAAGTTATTTCTTCTTACATTAACATAAATTTATCTATCAATTGATTTGTCTATCAAAAGCTAGCATGAATATTGAACATACATAAAAAAAAAAAAAAAAAACCTTACAAATGTGTATATCAAAATGTCTGCGTGCTACAACATAAATTTTGATTTTGACGAAAAGATTTCAAGATTTAAACTTTAAAAAAAAAAAGGATAAAAATTATAAATAAAAGAAAACTACATCCGTCATGTAGTCTAGTGTCAATTGAAGCTGTGTTGATGGATCAAAAATATTTGAAAGTTCAAATTATTTTTATTTTTTTCATTACCAAAAATAGTTTGAACCCAAATATGAAATTTTATCTCATCCTGAAACATAAAACATCAAATATAACTATGATGGCAATGAGTGGTCGAGATAGAAGCAAGATAACTACTCAATTGACCCTTAATTCTAATTAGATCTAGTTGGATCAAGTATATACTTCGAGAAAAAAAAAACCTCATTTTAGTCTTATACCTACGTATCTAATCTCAATTTCTTTTCAAACCTATAAATTTTATCAATTGGATCTCAAATATTTTCTACACTTCTCAGCTGTATTATTTTGTCAATATTAAATCGTTTACTCTAATGTGCATATTTTGGTATTGATTTGAAGAAAAAGTTAATGAGCATTAATATTTTTGTATAATCTATACAGTAAACCAGATCAATTTGAGGAAATTTGATGAAAAATGTTGATAAACATTATCAGAAAGATTCGATTGAGAAATTTTTAAAACGTTTGGGATCTAATTGATAAAATTTATAGATTTTAAACTCAATTGAAAATGAATATATAGAATTGAACTTTTCTTTAACAATATGGAAACTTTACTAAAAATAATATTATTATCTATCAGTTGTACTATCTATTATTTTAGTAAGGTGCACCAATAATACTATAATTGGGTTTCCCTAACCATATTATTTAACAAAATATTTTGTAGCCGCGTCACCTACTGCCAAAAATATTTCAAGGGCATCTTATTATCTGTTTAAGGTGGTTCGTGCACGTACATGTACTTTAATTGAATATTGTTATAACATATAGTTCTCCAAACGTACGATAACTGGTTTTCCTACTATTTTGGTAAACAAGCTTAGAAAAATCAAAACATCAGTATAAAACTCCATGAGAACAGGCACAGCAACCATTTTTTAGGCATTTCAAATCCAAATCTGTAGATCATACTAGGTATTCAAGTACAAAATGGGTATAAATAATTGGCAATTGGGTTTCACTAAAGACAAAAGGAAATTATAAAAATATGTATATATATATTGTGAGAATTAAAAATTACGAGAAATTGCTTTTCTGTAACCTAATGTAAGTGAGAAGAAGAATTAAATAGGGTTTGAACTTAAATTATGTAATTTAGTGCTTATTTTACTCTACCTAAATTTAACATAAAAAATAATAATAAAAATCAATGAGTTGGAAAAAAAAAATTCTTTTTAGTTTTTTTGTTGCTGTAAAACAGTTAACTAATATTTAACCACTAAAATCACAGGATGGGAAACACAACAAAAAAATGTACCTAAAACCAGAAATTTAACAGAAATTGGAATTACAGTTGGTCGCTAACCGTATTCGCACGTTCCCTCCCTCTCTTTCTCTCTCTCTCCCCCTCTTCTTCCTAGACAAAGAGAAACCAAAAAAGAAGAGAGAGAGAGAGAGAAAGAAAGAAAACATAAATGCTTGACTTAGTTATAACAAAACATGTAAAGAACATAAACAACAACCACTTTTTATTTATTTATTTATTTATTTTTGTTGTAAACCGCGTTGGTCTGTCTTGTCCCTTCTTCCTTTCCACCCACCATGGATTTCTCCTTTCGTTTTTCACGGTTTCGTTTTCTCTCTAACAAAACTAACATTAACAGAAAAGAAAGCTACCAGCCCATTTCTTCTTCTTCAACAATAAAACCCAAAATATGATAATTCTGAATGTTCTTGTTAAATTATTTTTATTGTATTATTAATTATTTAGTAATTTATTTACTGCCATGCGTTGGATTCATAACATTTCCTTTACTTCTTCTTCTTCTTCTTCAACATCTTCGTCCCTTTCTCCTCGTCAACTTTCATCTTCTTCTTTCTCTTCTTCTTCAATGGCCACAGATGAAACTTTCCCTTCGGTGAGAAGAGGTCATGGCCGTCGTATTAATCGGAATAATCGTAGTAGTTTAAGGATAGGTGGTGATAGTGGTGGTGGTGGCTATGACGGTGATGAAAGACCTAAACTTTCAAGGCAAAGGAAGTTAAGGCATTTGACCGATCAAGACCTTGCAGGTCATAAAAAACAGGTGGCACCGCCGGACCATCATGTAAATTCTGGTGCCCTTTCGAGGTCAACTTCTGCTGCGGTTGCTGTGCCATTGCCGCTCCCATTGCCGGCGCCTTCTGGAGATGGGGATTTGAGGTTGCCTTCGCCCAAAGAGAGGATTCGAGATGGCTTGAGGGAAAGAGAAAGAGACAGAAGTGATAGGGTTGGAGAGGGATTATATTCTTCGAATTCTCCAATTTCTAGGTAATTTTGCTAAATGGATATCTATTTTAGGGTATATTGTTGATTAATGAAAATTTTCAATTGATGAGGTTTTCGGTGTTTGGTTGATTAATTCATTATCCTTTTCATCTCCAAAATGGAACATGAATTGTGGGTTTTTGATATATTATGTTTTTATACTATTCATAGATGCTACATCCTGGAAAAATTGGTAAACAATGTGACATATTTTTCTTGATTTAGAGAAATTTTTGGAGATAATATATGAATCTTAGACTTTTTCAGCTTTTTAATGCATAAGGGAGGCTTGCAGCATCAATTACGGGTTGTAATTTGTGCATTACACGCACCTTAGTCGGGGACGCTGCATCAGAAATGCATTGTTCATTTAGCAGATAAATTATTTTCCAGGCACTGAATTGAATTTTCCTGGTTAATATCTGGTGCCGTAACAGTGTATTTGCTGGTCGAAAGATGAAGCAAATGATTGAGCATTTAGACACGCAGTCATCTAGGAGGGTACGACCGGATTTCAGTACTGCACAGAGTTCTAGAGACAACTTCGGGATCAATATTCCTATTAGGAGTGCTCCTACTAGTCCGTTTTCAAGTCCTGTTCGCAGCCCACAGAGAATGAGTAATGCTGCTGATATGCTTCCTTACTACCACATGATTGCTCAAGCAAATCAAGTTTGGTCTGCACCAGAGATGGCAACGTTGGATATACCTGGGCTTCCTCCTCCAGCGTTCATGGATATCGGTGCTTTTAGCACTGACAGCTCTCCTCTTCAAAGTCCACCAAATATAAGTCCCCGCCAGAGATCTAGAAGCCCAACTGGGCCTTCATCACCATTGAGTGCCAAGTTATCAATCGAAAGCTCAGCTGCACGACGAGAAAGTAATGCTAATTTGGAGGTCCACCCGTTACCGCTCCCTCCAGGAGCAGGTGTCCCTACACCATCAGTACCAGTTCCTCTAACTCTACCTAAACCAGAGTCCACGCCTATGAAAAGTCAGTGGCAGAAGGGAAAGCTTATTGGACGTGGTACATTTGGAAGTGTTTATGTTGCCAGCAATAGGTACATGAATTCTATTTTCTGTTGTGCTGGCTTATTTTGATGCAGTAAACCCCAATTACAGTCTTTTGTTTCTAACAGGGAAACTGGAGCATTATGTGCAATGAAGGAAGTGGAAATGTTTCCTGATGACCCAAAATCTGCTGAGTGTATAAAGCAATTAGAACAGGTGATTTACCTTGACTATAACAAGTTGATTCTGTAGCTTCATGCTCAAATACTTGGGTATATGTGTCATAATCTCCATAGCAATATGCTGTGAAGATTCTGAGTTATATTTTTTTGTTTTGTGTTAATGAGGATATATTTTTACATCTAATTGGTATGATTTTAGTCTCTATAGGTATACTAATAAATAACTTTATGTTTTATTCGGCTCCCAACTTCTTTTCTTCTTTCATATGTTTCAGGAAATTAAAGTTCTTAGCCAGCTGAAGCATCCAAACATTGTCCAATATTATGGTAGTGAAATAGTGAGTAATTCCAGTGCCAACTTTAGGTTCCTCCTTTTTTTTTTCTTCTGAACAAATATGTCTTCAGGTTTCTATGTTCTATATATCTACCAGGGCATCTTTATGAACTTAGTTAACAAATCTTTTGCCTATGCAGGTTGATGACAAATTCTATATATATCTGGAGTATGTTCATCCAGGTTCAATCAATAAATATGTACGTGAACATTGTGGAGCCATAACAGAAAGTGTTGTTCGTAATTTTAGTCGCCATATCCTCTCTGGGCTAGCTTATTTGCACAGTATGAAGACAATACACAGGTAAAGAAGTATGTGCAGTTTATTATATTTTCGAATTAGGGTTAGCATACATTTTAAGCAGTCTTTTGGGAAAGGGTCTCTGGAATTATGTTGCATCTATTTGGTGGCCGAGAATCTCATATCTTTGTATGTCTAGGGATATAAAAGGCGCTAATTTGCTTGTTGATGCATCTGGAGTTGTGAAGCTTGCAGACTTTGGGATGGCAAAACTTGTGAGTGATAGTTTTTTTCTTTTCTCCAAAATTCTACTGGTCACATGAATACATGCATTTAATTGTAATGTGTATGTATTGCGTCTGAACTACTGTGTCTTTGGATATCTTTCAATGCTATTACGAGTTAGTTCCTGTAAGCAGTATGAAGTCTGATATGACTGTTGACTTTGTTCCTGTGTGTCATTCATGCCCTCTTTATTCCTTGCTTCCTTTTCCTCGATAAACTTTGGTATGCTGTTTAGAAATGAAAAAGGTTATCATTCAGTCATGGTATTGGTACCGCCAAATTGGGGTAGGACGGAAAATTTGGAGATGGTTCAAAGTTTAAGAAAGTTTTAGATTTTACAACTTACAAGATATTTTCTACTTTCACATTCAAATTCAAAAATCATAGTTGTGTGATCGTTTGTGCTGAAAAATATTCTTGGCTTACTGTGCTTTGTTCCCCACTGGTGCTTGTTTTTAAAATTTTGTAACCTTCAGTAGGATACAATTTGACATTCCTTTTGTTTAGTTACTCCTGGTGTCAGCTTGAGTGAAACATCAAATTTTAATGTTACCTTAGTGCATTTGTGATCCACGGCTACGTCTGAAATCACCATGTAATTTCCATTAAAGATTTGATTTGCTCTTTCTCATACTGGGCTCATAAAAAATGTTACCTTTTTCTTGCACAGCTCACTGGACAAGCAGCTGATCTTTCTCTAAAGGGAAGCCCTTACTGGATGGCTCCTGAGGTATGTTCTTGCACATGAACAGGTATGATCTTTCTTTTGTTTCTTTCATTCTGACAGAATTTCCTTCTCTGCAGCTCATGCAAGCAGTAATGCAAAAGGATGCCAGCTCTGATCTTGCACTTGCTGTTGATATTTGGAGTTTGGGATGTACTATTATTGAAATGCTCACTGGGAAACCTCCTTGGAGCGAGTATGAGGGGGTGAGTACTGGATTTTTCTTAATGTCCTTTTCTTATGCCAGAATGACCTTCAATTTGGTCTACCAAACATAGACGTCAATTAATATATATATATATATATAAGACGAGGGAATTGTGTGTTTTCTTTTTATTATTTTTTCAAAAAGATGATGCAACCCTCAATGTCAATTAAGAAATAAAATTTTAGTACACACACATACATGTGTTTCATTTGTTAACATATACACCCAAAATATCAAAGAAGGTTGGGTGCTGAATGAGATTTCAAGTTGTCATTTCATAAAAATGGCTGGGGAAGGATGCACAGATTATGTAAGTTTGATGCAAATTCCTATTCTGTAATTGGAGAACTAGAAAGAAATAGAAGATTCTACAATGGATTGAATCTTGAAAATCCTTTATTAAGAACTGAATCAATCAAAATAAAAGTACCGTACAACTTGAAAGAAAAAGAGAAAAGCAGAGCAGTATGAAAACTCAAGGAAAGTTTCAGAGATGAAACCAGAGAGAAGATTGCTGAGGAAGAATGCAGAGAGAAGAATACAATTGTTAGCAAATCTAGAAGACAATTCCAAATTGCTCTCTCTTTCCCCTTTAATGCACTAGCTGTTAGATACACTCCTAACGGTAATATAACAAACTCATAACGGCCAGCCACACCATCTTTAACAAACTACAAATGTGTTTCTCCTTCCTTCTCTCTTGTCCTACATGTCCTTCATTTATTAACTGACTTCTTTATCACATATTGCCTCCTGCATTATAACCTTCAATTACAAACTACAAAACCATCTCCAGTCAAAAGCCATTTCTTTCTCACTTGTATCAAACTTTCAACTGGGTTTTACACAGAGCGCTGGGGTATGATTTAGTTAGCTTAATGGACTCATGTCTTCCTATGTTAATTTAAAATTTTAAGCTATCTTCTACTATGCAGGCTGCAGCCATGTTTAAAGTTATGAGGGATAGCCCAGCTATACCTGAAACATTGTCACCCGAGGGCAAGGATTTTATGCGTTGCTGCTTTCGGAGAAACCCTGCAGAGAGACCTTCAGCTACCATATTACTAGAACATAGGTGGTTGAAAAACTCCCAGCAGATCGATGTCTCATCTACCATCCAGTCAATCAATGGGATAAAATTGATTGTAAGCCACCAATATCATTCCCATTTGTCTTTTTTTTTTCTTTTTCATTTTGAGTTTCAAAATAGATTATAGGAATTTGGATTATTTATCGTATTAATATGCAGGATTTATCACATGGTCCAAGAGCGTCTGAAGTCAAGTTTGATCAGCTGCCAGGATTTCCAAGCTCAAAAAGTACTAAAGGAAAGGCGACTTCTGACAGGTAACAGTTACTTTCTGCATTATCCTTCCATTATTTCTCTTCATTTCTTGACCCTAAAAATTAAATTCTCAAATGTGTAATTTCCTGCTTCTGCATGACTGCTGGCTCCAGCTTCGTGCATTATTCTTTTTCTCCAGCAAGACTGTCCAACGACCTTGCCATGAAACTTCCAACTTAACAGTCAAAATGGCCTCCCATCATTCTCCTCATTCAGTTCCTGAGGTTCCTGCTTTTGCTCCTCTGCAGTTGGATCACAGCACGTGTTACGCCGGTCTTCTTCAATCTTCATCAATGCCCAGTTTAAGCAAATGTGGGGCTCAAATTAACCATGGCTTCAGATAATACAGAACTGGAAGAGCCTCTGCTTGTTTCGTTGATGGGCTAAGCTGACAACCAACTCTAAATTGGAAAAAGTTCTGATTTTGACCCCTGTGCACGCTGGTACATATCTGGTGGCCGTAGGTTACTGCAGTAGAACGTTCTTTGCTTTATTATTATCATTAATTCTTCCTGATGTTTTACACGCTTGTTCACCCTGAAATATAGGCTATGTCAAGGATTTTAGAAGCAGGTTTTGTACATTATTCATTGAGTTTAGAGCTTCAGCATTTTCAGAATTTCAATTGTTTGTATATTTCCCAAGGTATTAATCTTGCCTCAATGTAACATCATTAGTTTTTAGAGAAAAGTTATACCTATTTATCTACAATTTTTCCTGTTAATTTTCCAAGGAAATTTCACGTGACAGAGTAATCCTAGTAGCTTCTTAGGCAGTCCCCAACTGTCAAATCTTCTTGCAAATTTAATATTTTAGCAGTTGCACGGTCTTGAAACTTAGAAAATGTTGTTGGGCAGATTGAGGATCATACGGTATCAGCTGAACAGTTGCTTTTCTGTCAAGCATATACTATCAGCTTCAGTGTTGTAAAAAAAAAAAGAAAAAATTCGTTTTCTATATTATAATGTTGCAGTTGAAAATTGCTATCGAATGGTACGTGTATGTTGTGGGCGTATGTGTGAGGCTTGCTGCAGTTTCTAGATATGCCAATTGCTTCGCCTCTTCATTTGTTTGCTAGTTATTAATTGATTGCTTCCTTTCCTCCAAATGTAATTTGTAAACATTGCTTCGTCCCTTCATTTGTTTGCTAGTTATTAATTAATTGCTTCCTTTCTTCCAATTGTCATCTGTAAGCATGCATGTGCTGGATGTAAAAGCAGCCCGGAAATTGAGATTCTCCAACCAAAAGCCAACTTGTGCCGTTTAAAATTGCCTGTAATGGCCAGCAAAAGGTCAAAGATAAGTCGAAGTGGTTAATCCTCATTATGTCATCTAGAAATTTAAGAAAAAGTATAGCAGCATGTGTAGTTGTAGAATCAAGGTCGGCTAGAGAGCAATTCCAGAACGTAATTGTCACAAATAGTTAATTTGCAATGGACAATTTTACTATTTTTTGTCTGGAGCTAGAAGATGAACACAAATGTTGCTAAATGAGTATGCAAAATAGGTCGTGGGTTGTAATCAATAAACAGTTTATGGTGACATAAGTACTATCTAATATTAGATTGGCATTTGGAAGCTTTTTTTTTTTGAAAAAAAAAAGGAAGAAGATTTTTTTATTTTATTTTTAATACAGAAATAGTTTTGATGTAAACTTATTATAATAATATGTTTATATCACATTAATATTTTTTATATTAATTTCATTTGTAGTTAATAAACTTATTATAATATGTTTATATTGCATTCATTAATAACTATTAGTTACATTTAAAATACACAGCAAATATAAAATCTCTACAAAACGAACAATTGCATTACATCCCGACGAAAATTTTTATAATTAGTACTTAGTAATTTCATAAACATAACTACTACATGATTAAGTTATAGTTTTATTAGAATGTCAAGTAAATTAATGGCTTTTTAGGCTTTAACGATAACATCGGACATTTAATAAATCTCTATTAGGTTTGTTTACATGAGTGCATATACGCACACATAATTAATATGTTGTTTTCAGTTAACCTTTCCATAGATTTTAGGAATTTTAGTGTATATATGTATACAAATAAATAAAAAATTAGTTTGTAACTCGTTTCGGTTAATATTTTAGTTAATAATTAATTTATATTAGTAAGGATAATTCTATTTTATTAAATTATCTTATTATTATGACATCAATTATGTAGCAACTATATACAAAAAAATAAATTGAATTGATAGAAAGAATATACTATTCACTCAATAAGCATGAATGATATTTGATGTTTTGATATTGATATTTATTATTGTTAAATTAAATAGTAACTATGGATTAAATATAGAAATATATATTTTATAATAAGTAATGTCGATATTTGATGATATATTCGTATTTTAATAATAAGTAATGTCGACATCTGCCCACGGGAAAGACAATTTCATCCAAAACTCTCGGATATTCCATGTTATGCAATTATTTGATTGGATCGGGTTTTTATTCTGCTTGTTTGGAATCAAAACGAATCAAATAAAAACATAACTCGGTTTCGCTTGATTTGAGAGTAAAAATGGATGAAGGGTTCTCCCGTCTCATCATTCGCCCAGCACCTGATCCGATATTTTTTATTTTATTTTAATTTTAATTTTTTTGTTATATATTTTTCTTATAAACTCTATAAAACAAACCCTATCATCTAATCGTTATTTTTTAACTAAATTTTACTCAATAAATAACGAAAAAATCATTATTAGTTTAGATTACTAATTATATTTAATGACATAATTTTCTATTTTTAAATCATATCTAGTATTAATATTTTAAATATGATTTAAAAAAGATAAGATTATTAGGTATGTGAGATTCTTTGCACTAATTTATTTAGATTTGATTTTGTAAAGTGTTATAAAAAAATTAGGATAATGTTATTTCCACTTCATGATTTGTTAATCATGCTCTACATTTATTACACGTTTTAATAGACTGTATTATGAGATATTTTTTTTGAAATATTCTTTTTCTAATTATTGAAATTTAAATAATTTAGATATTAAAAGAAGTATAAAATTGAAGTTTTTGAAAGTTTTGATCTCTCTCTCTATATATATGAATGACCAAAATTCCTCTCTCTCTCTCTCTCTCTCTCTCTCTCTCTCTCTCTCTCTCTCTCTCTCTCTCTCTCTCTATATATATATATATATATATATATATATATATACATATACGACCACATTTCTTTTTCAGAGAAATTAAATTTGGTGATAGGTAATAATTAAAAAAAGCAACACCTTATAAACTACTCGGTTTCTTATGCTACACTACAAGTCAAATTAAATATATTTATTTTAGTTCCATAATATGTATTATGTTATTGGTCAATTAAAATATATTAAATTAAAGATAAAGATAAAATTTTTATCTAATTTTATAACTTTTGATCAAAATTTTGTATCTAATTTTTTTTAATGTTTTTAAAAAATTTGTAGTTAAAGAAATGCAATTTCTTCTTTCTTATGTATTTATTATTAAACAAAAACCCATAATAATCTAAATATAAAATTTTAAAAAAATTTCTTAATATTTTTTTATAAAATTGCATCGAATAAATAAAACGAAAATTAATATAAAAAACTTGTATAAAAATTAACAAATAAATCTTTTTTATTTTTGTTTGATATTGATGAGAAGATTTTTTTTTTTTTGAAATATATCCATTTTATTTATATTTATTTATTTAAAAAAATTGTACTTGAATTATTAGGTGATTCTTCTAAAGAATTATTTTAATTATTTTATTTGAAAGAAATTAATTTTAAAATATTAAAAAATAATAGCAAATAGTTGGTGTTATGTGTGTAATGCATAGTTAATTTTTAATAAAATCAATGTCTCTAATTTTTTTTATATACATTATGACCATACCCACTAGATTAGAGCATGTATCATAAATTGAAAAATGTTTTTAAAAAATTTAAGTTGTAAAAAATATATTGAAGTTAATAAAGTGTAGTAAAAAAACTACAAAATTGATTTTGATAAAATTTGATTATATAAAGCATAAGTAAATAAAATATATGAATTCTATTTTTAAATTTTAATTATATAAAGAATAAGAAAATTAAAAAATTATTCAAAAATACATACATAGAGAACATAAATAATATTTATTAACAAATGAAATTACATAAAAAAGAATGAAAAATTAATTTGATGATAATTTTTATAGAAAAAATGACAAATTGAAGATATTAATTTTAAGCAATAAGAATAATATATATATATATATATTTCCACCACAATATATATATATATATATATATATATATATATATATATATATATATATATATATTGTGGTGGAAATATATATATCTTATTTATTTCATAATCGTCGGCTTGTGTGAAAAAAAATAACGATTGATTTTTTATAAGTTTTTACACCCAATCCAATAATAATTATACAAAAAAATAAATTGGTGGACATAAACAAAAGAAAAAACCAACCAAAAAAAAAAAAAATTAGAGGCAAGGCTGCTCGCCTAGCTTCTACATGCCCAAGGCTCACTTGTACGCCTAGGCCTGCAGAAGCAGGGGTGATGCAAACTGTGCTCTTCAGCGTGCAGTAGCTTAAGAGACTAAAAATTTTATTTTAAACCTTTAGGGACCAAAATGAAACATAATATAAAATTCAAATATGAATTCCCAAAACTAGCTTAAAAATCACCAAAATGCCACCTTTACCTACAATACGTCCACAGTAATTTGTGAGAGAATGAACATGTAATATCTACAATTTCAAAAACACATTAAAAGTAATTATATTTGTAAGAATTATTTATTTAATTAATGTATGGATATTTATTTAAAGTATGGATTGAAAAGTTATACTTGGATAAGAATAAAATTAATACAATTGTAATTATTATGAAAGATAAATGAATTAATTAAAAGGAAACGAGTTTGTTAAAGTGTTAATTAGAGGTTTATAATATTAATTGATATAATTATGTATAAACCTATGGGTGAAATTGCAAAACCGTAGGGGTGTCATTGAAATAATTAAAAGTTAGGTCCTTAAATAAAATAATTAGGAAACTTTGGGGACCAATTACTCTAGGAAAGGTATAGAATAAAGGGCTAGGTTGTGGGAAATTATGAGGCTATGGACTGAAATTGGAGGGGGCAGTTGCATGAATTA